GTCCACGATCTCCGTACTAGGCACAGGAAAGTGGCCGGCTAGGGCAAGAGAGCTGCCAGCCTGGCCACCCAGGAGCAGGTGTGCATGAAAATCAAGGGGGTCCACTGAGACCCCCGACCCTGAGCCCTGAGCTTACAATGGCCGTACTGGGTCAGACCAAAGGTCCATCTAGCCCAGTAGCCTGTCTGCCGACAGCGGCCAACCCTCGGGACCCTGGAGGGGATGGACCGAAGACAGTGACCAAGCCTTTTGTCTCGTGCCATCCCTCTCCAGCCTTCCACAAACCTTGGGAAGGGACACCACTCCTACGCCCCTGCTAATAGCACTCCATGGACCCAACCTCCATGACTTGATCTCACTTCCCTTTAAACTCTGTTCTAGTTCTAGCCTTCATAGCCTCCTGAAGCAGGGAGTTCCACAGGTTGACTACTTGCTTTGTGAAGAACAACTTTCTGTTACTAGTTTGAAGAGTGAGAATTCCCATTTAAAAAAAAACAAGAAATAAAAAAAAAAAAAATCAGAAACATCACCATAGCTTGTGGAAAGTGGTGCCAGCATTCAGTGCCATTGCCCTACACTCAGTTTCCTGCAGCTGAGCATTTCCTTGGCCTCTGCAATGCCCAAAATTAACAGGTGCATTGTCAGTACTATATTCATAGATAAGCACCAAACACTTCTTAACAGGTCCAAGTCACGGAGCCAGGTACAGTACATCAGGACATATTACCATGGCTTGTATTAAGGTGCTCTCTCAAAGCCTCCCTCAGTTCTTCTCATTGAGATGAATTCTGCTGATAGCTCTTGTATCTGGCAGTCCATATTCACACTGCTGCTCCACTTTCACCCCAGCAGTAGCTTTTCCTATTTTGCTTCACAGATAGTATGCAGACACAAAAAGCAGGTAAAACCCTTGGGGTTTCCCTTCCCCCCACTGACATTTGATCTTTATGTACAAACAATGCCAGTGCCCCGTCAGCTTAAAGTATATTCAACTGTCATTCTGCAGCTGCTGAGATGGTAGTTGAATCTGTACTTGGTTACGGGTATACAACCTCATGAACCAGTGGAGTCAGAGGTAGGCTGGGTGTCCTAGGATTACAGGCAGTCCCCAGGTTACATACAAGATAGGGACTGTAGGTTTGTTCTTAAGTTGAATCTGTATGTAAGTCGGAACTGGCGTCCAGATTCAGCCGCTGCTGAAACTGATCAGTTTCAACAGCGGCTG